GAGCCCGGCTTTTCATACACTTTCATACACACACACACACACACACACACACACACACACACACACACAGGCATTGTTTTCAGGATTCTTTTCTTTTTCTTTTTTTTTTTTTGAGTCATAGTCTCACTCTATCACCCAGGCTGAAGTGCAGTGGCATGCTCCCGGCCACCGCAGCCTCAGCCTTCCAAGTAGCCGGAACTATAGGCATGTGCTACCACATCTGGCTAATTTTTTAAATTTATTTATTGTAGAGATGAGGTCTCAAAAAGTTGCCTGGGCGAGTCTCGAAACCGCGGGTTCCGGCAATCCACTCGCCTCGGCCTCCCAAAGTGCTGGGATTACAGGCTGAGCCACCGAGCCTAGCCTATTTTTTTTTCTTTTGAAAGGTATGGTCTTGCTGTGTTGCCCATGCTGGTTTCAAACTCCTGCGCTCAAGCGATCTTCCTGCTCAGTCTCCCACGAAGGCTTGGACTGCAGGTGCACACCACTACACCTGGTTTACATATGCAGGTTCACTCAGCCTCAACCTCTGGGACTCAAGTGATCCTTCTGTCTCAGCCTCCCAAGTAGCTGGGACTACAAGTGCACACTACCACATCCAGCTAATCTTTTTTTTTTTTTTTTTTGTAGAGATGAGGTCTCACTATGTTGCCCAGGCTGGTCTCTTGAACTTCTGGACACAAGCAATTCTCCCACCTCCGCCTCCCAAAGTGCTGGGATTACAGGCATGAGCCAAGGTGCCCAGTTCTACATATGGGTTTTTAATGAAACATATAAATCTAATTTTTCAATAACTGAAGCACAAACAGAATTTGGATTAGTGAAATGTATAAAAAATAAACCCAACCTCCAGGTCTTCAGAGAGGAGAGAAGAATGTGTTGCCTTTTGAGCCATTTCCTGAAGCAGTAGCTGGGTCTTTTGAAGTACTGTCTGGCATTCAGCTTGATTGGATTCAAGGGTTTTTACCTTCTTCATGAGTGACCTGATTAGTTCAGTTCTTTTATGTAGTTCACCTGAGGAAAATTTCATCAAAAACCTATCTGTTGTCAGATCTGAAGCTTAAAATGAATTCCTGTCAAAATCAGTGGTTAAAAGGTGCAAGCATGCTAAAGAATTTTTTAAAGGACAATCTTCTTTTAAAACTTTTAATTTTGCCAGGCATAGTGACTCACACCTATAATCCCAGCACTTTGGGAGGCCTAAGTGAGAGGATTGCCTGAGCTCACAGGTTTGAGACCAGCCTAGGCAACTTGGCGACACCTCGTCTTTATAATAAATCAAAAAAAAATTAACCAGGTGTGGTGGCGTGTACCTGTAGTTCCAGCTTCTTGAAAGGCTGAGGCAGAAGGATCTCCTGAGCCTAGCAGATTGAGGCTGTGGTGGCTGTGAGCGTGCCACTGCCCTCCAGTCTGGGCGACAGAGTGAGACGCTGACTCAAAAACAACAACAACAACAAAAACTTAATTATACAATGCTCAAAACTGTTTCTAATCAAAAAAATAGAACTGTCAGCAACCAGAAACCCCCGGATGTCCCTTTTGGAACACAATCTCTCCAATATCCACTTACCCAACCCCACTGCCCTGATCTTAGAGTAATCATTTCTTAACGTTTCTTTTTTTTTGAGTCATGGTCTCACTTTGTCACCCAGCCTGGAGGGCAGTGGCACAATCATGGCTCATCACAGCCTCCAATTCTGGGCTCCAGTGCTCCTCTTGTATCAACCTCTCAAGTAGCCAGAACCACAGGCATGCACCACCATGCCCAACTAATTTTTTGTTAATTTATTGTAGAGACGAGGTCTCGCCAAGTTGCCTAGGCTGGTCTTGAACCCCTGGACTCAGGCAATCCTCTCACCTCTGCTTCCCAAAGTGCTGGGATTAGACTTGAACCACTGCGCCCGGCAGAGAATGGGAAATTTTTAATATGTTTACTGGCCATTCAATTTTTATCTTTTCACGAAGTGCCCACTCAAGTTTTGCTCGTTTTAAAACTGGATACTGATGGCTACATATATTCCTGGTTATATACTATCGTTGTTCTTTTTTTTTTTTTTTTTTGAGTTGGAGTCTCACT